AAGTGGGAGCGATACCGCTCCCAATTCTAATTCATCAGGTTTGAGCCCAGAGTCGCCTCCGACGCCCCCACTGTCAGCCAGAGGGTGCCCAGCGGTTCTAGCAGGCGTGCCGCCAGCTGACGCGGGCGCGGCAGTCAGGGTTGTGCCGCGCCTCGCCCTCGGCAGCCTCAGCGTCGGGGCTGCGGGCGACGCCGTCGTCGGCGTTGGCGGAGGAGGTGGAGGGGCAGCGGCGGCGGGGGCTGGAGCGTTGCAGGGGGAGGAGGAGGGGGAGGAGCCGCCGGGCGGCTCGGCGCTTGCGTCGCTGAGCGGGTGGCGGGGGTCGTCTCGGTCCGCGCGCGGCGGCTGCGTGGCGTCGCCACCGGCGCGGGAAGCGTCGCAGCAAGGCGCGGCGGCGGCTGGCATGGGGCCGGCGCAAGGCGGGCCTGGCAAGGCCGGCGTGCGCGCCCTGTCGCGGGAGGCCTCCCGGGCCGCAGCCCCCAAGCAGGAGCGCAGCGGCGGCGGCGCCGCCGCGAGGGCGCCGCCGGCGCGGCGCAGCAGCAGCAAGCAGCGCGCGCGGGGTGCGGCGGGCGCCGCGACGGCGGCGGCGGCGGCAGGGGCTGCGGTGCGGGAGTCTCCGTCGGGGTCGCCGCGCGGCGACTTCGTAAGCTGCGGCGGCGGCGGCGGCAGCGGCACGGGGAGCTCGCGCTCGTCGGCCCGCGCGTCTGGCCGGCAGCGGCCGGTCTCCGCGCCGGTGGGGACGCCGCGGCAGCAGCAGGCGTTGCTGCAGAAAGCGCAGCAGCAGGCGGAGCGCATGGCAGAAGATACCCCGGACGGCGGGATAGCGGACGGCGGCGGCGGCGGCGGCGGCGGCGCGGGCGAGGTCGCGTGGGAGGAGAAGCAGCGCGGCCGCCTGATGGCGGTCGCGCGCGCAGTGGGCAGCCTCAATCGCTCCGCGCTGGGGCGCCTGCAGGGGGAGTGGGACGCGCGGGCGTCGGCCCCGGGGCCGCGCGCATCTTATAGCGCGCTTTTTCAGGGGCTCGCATCCGAGCCTGCGGCCGCGTCCGAGGACGCTCTCGCCGCGCGCCGCGCGCGCGCCGAGCGCGAGCTCGCCGCGTGGCGCCGCGGCAAGGCCGACGCCGAGGCGGCGGCGCGCGCGGCGCACGAGGCGGCCGTCGCGGAAGCCGACGTAAAGGATGCGGCGGCGGCGGCGGCGCACGCGGCGGAGGTCGCGGAGCGGCGGGCGAGGGAGGGGGGGCACGCGGAGGCGGTGCGGCAGCACCAGGAGAGGGCGGCGCGGCTGCAGGTGCGTGAAGTTGACGGACCTGGGCGCTGCGCATGCTTGCAGGGGCGGCGGCCTTCCCTTAATGCGTGCCGCCTGGGAACTCAATTTGCATGGTGGTGCTGCAGCCCTCGCTGCGTGCATGGGCATGCTCTTGGGCACTTCTGCACCTTTGATGACAAATCCTGGCCCAGGTGGGGCAGTTCACTGGGCTGCATGTTTGCTCCGCAGGATGCCAAGCTGTGCCAAACCATCCACTCAATTCCTCTCACATTGTGCTCCAAAAAATGCTCCCCCTCGTTCCTTGCCTCGCAAACGGCCCCCCCCCACCTGGGTGCCTCTCGCCACCCCCAAATTTGCCTTTGTCAGGTGGAGCACCGCACAGCGGCCGACGCGGCCAGGGCCGCGCACGCGGCCGCATCTGCAGAGGCGCTGCGGCGCTGGGAGGAGCGGCGCCGCGACGAGCAGGAGGCGTGGCAGCGGCAGCTGGAGGCGGCGGGGGCGGAGCACGAGCGCGCCGTGGAGCAAGTGCGCGGGCTGGCTTTGCCTGCGTCCGGGGTACCAATTAATATGCATATCAGGGCCTTGATTTGGCCCCTGGATGCGTTGCAGCAATTACACTAGGCGTTGAACAGTCTGGGGGGTTTTGGCGTGGGTGTGGCGGCCTCGCAGCCAGCCAGGCTTGTGTTGAGAGGCACCTTGCCTTGCCTCCGGCGCAAGGGGCTCTCCTCGAATCTGGCTGTGTTTGTTGCACGCGCCTGGTCTGGCCGATCCCCGGTTGCCATTTGGAAGGTGCGTCTGATGTTCTGGTTGTTGAGCACAAGACCCATCCTCGCCCCAGGTCTGCCAGACAGCAGGGCAACCAACCCACCCATCCCAACCAATCGGCCCAACAATCGGCCCAACAACCAAACATAACATTATTGACCAACCAGTCGATCCACTTACCAATTGGCCGACCAGCCGACCAACCAACCAACAAACCAACCTACCAACCAACCAACCAACCAACCAGCCAACCAACCAACCAATGAATTGTCGACCCCGCAGGCCCGGGAAGCGAACCATGCCGCCAGGGAGGCCGCCGCCCAGGCAGCCGCCGCGTATTCGTCCGCCCTGCGCGAGAACGCGCGGCGCCAGGCGCTCTACAGCGACGCGAAGGAGGTGGCGCTCGCTGAGCTGGCGCGCAGCAACCAGGCGGCGCGGGAGCGGGCGCGGGAGGAGTATCGGGTGCGGCTTGCAGCCGGGGGCGGGCCCGCTGCTGCTGTCGCTGCTGTTGCTTCAGCTGCTGCTGCTGCTGTCGCTGCTGCTGCTGCTGCTGCTGCTGCTGCTGCTGCTGCTGTGGATGCTGTGGATGCTGCTGCTGCTGCTGCTGCTGCTGCTGCTGCTGCTGCTGCTGCTGCTGCTGCTGCTGCTGCTGTCGCTGCTGCTGATGCTGCTGCTGCTGTCGCTGCTGCTGATGCTGCATTGGCAGTGCGGACGGCTGCAGCGGCGCTCCCGCAGCACTTGCTGCAGAGGACAACTTCAAAACCCTGGCAACTGCAGGAACCAGTGCTGCTGCACTCTGCCGTTGTATCCTGCCTCACACAAGTCACATCTGACTCAAGAGCACCCCTCTCCCTCTTGGTCCGCGCGGACGCAGGCGCTGTGCGCGCAGGCCGAGGCAGAGCGCGCCGAGGCGATCGCGCAACTAGAGACGGCCCACCAAGCCGAGCGCGCCGCTATCGACGCCGCAAACGTGGCCGCGCTGGAGGCGGCGCGGCGCGACTTCTCGAGCGCGGCGGAGCGGCGCCGGGCGGCGCACTTGGCCGAGTGCGACGGGCTGGCGCGGGAGCACGGGCGGCGGCTGGCGGTGGTGCGAGCGCACAACGATGAGATCTGGGCGGAGGTGCGCTGCTCGGGCCGTTCGCTCAGTACGAGGGTTTGCTTGCGCTGTGCAGCAGCCCCGGGATCGCGGGGGTGGCACGCTTGCGTTGGGCGCGGAGGGCTGCGGCGGGGCTGCAGTGGCGTGCGCCCGGCTCAACGAGTGGCCGGCGAGCAGAGGACCGCGATGAGGGCCGTGCAGGCACTAGCCTCTTGCCAGCACCAACCTCACAATCCACCCTGTCATATGACTGGGCCCCGCACCATTCCAAATTCGCAGGTCCGCGTCGCCCGCGCCGCCGCCGAGGAGCTCGCCCGCGCCCGCGTTTTCGCCGCCCACATCCGCGCGCGCGCCGCGCGGCTCGCCATCGGAGTCAACTTCCTCGACTGCACGCCCAACCTCGGACGCGTCGTCGAGATGAGTGCGCTGACGTCAGCGCTGGCGCTGGCGTACCCCGAGCTGCCGCGGGGGTCGGCGCAGTACCCCTGGCCGCGGCGGCGCTCGCCCCAGGGGTCGCCGC